TCATCCAGCTCTGCACCTTGTTGTCATGTAAACAAATGGCAAAGAGGAGATTCATAGTAGGAGGTTCTTTAGTTTTATAATGTCTGTTGGGAATTCATACTGCCAGTAAATGCAAGTGTTTTAAAGATCAGACGCTTCTATTTAATGACGAATTTGTTAAACGTATCATCAGGTTTTCTAATTGGTGAATTCTGTTGGAGTGTTTAATTTTTACGAAATGACTTGGAGTTGGCCATTACGTCTAATTTGTGAATTCTCATTAAAGCTTGATGAAGGTATTCAACATTGACCTCATGCGTCTATTGTGACAACGTGACTCACTAGCATGTTCCATCACCACTGTAGAAGAAACCCGGAACTGCAGCAGGAACTGCAAATCCAAAATGCTGTTGCGGCTGGTGATGTTCATACTGTGCGCAAGATGTTGGAACAAGGCTATTCTCCTAATGGTCGTGATGCTAATGGATGGACTCTGCTCCATTTCTCTGCAGCTAGAGGCAAAGAAAGATGTGTTCGTGTATTCTTAGAGCATGGAGGTAAGTGAATCTCAAAACTTTTTTTGTCTTCATAATTTATCTGCATTTGCTTGTATTCTTGATTAGCAAAACATTTGGCCTTCTCGTAATCATCAGCGCGTTTGTTGGGTGCAATCCAGCATCGACAGTTGTAGGTTGTGATGCAACCAGAGGGGGCATGTTGAGAGGTTCAAGCCATATGTGAGAAGTTCTCGATTGAAAAGGATTGAATGTTCTGCATTGGTTATGAAATAGATAATTAACTTCAGGGATGTCCAGTAACTGGATGAAGAGGTATAAAATCATGTTTGAATAGTCCAGTGGTTGTATTTTATATGTAGGTTCAGAATCATGGTAATAGTCAAAGTACAAATTTATTCCAAATGAATGAACTGTCTATAGTCCTGGTCATATTTTAAATTTCACATGATTTGGAGGCATTATAATTCAGGAGTTAACAAGGGACTTATCTTAAAACGTTCAATAATGAATTGAATGAGAAAGGTGGTTTTCTTCCAGATATTGAACTTGTGACTGCAGCTACGGCTGGAGCTAGGACTTGTTTACTTTTGGGAAGCTACATGCTAAGTGTATTAGTGATGTCTTGGAGCAACAACCAGGAAAGATTGAACAGGATTGGAACAGTTTTCTCTGGAAGAAGCCCAAGAGAAGATCTGTGAGAGACATTCAAAACTTTGCTGATCAGGGTGAATCTGGAATCTATTTCCATTTGAGTCCAGATTCAGCTCGCATCATTACAATGTAGACACAAACTCATTAAAACAAAATAATCACTTGATCGAGTTGAGAAGGTGGCACTAGCGAATGAGGGTTTGAAGCAGAATGCATTGGTGCACGGGGGTGCTGAAGCAGAATGCATT